ACTAGTGGAGCACTTTCTATTGCCCTCCGAGGGCTCACACATCACTGAACTTCTGCTTCCTGGGTTTTCAGTTGAACCATATTCCTGATATAGTTCCCTCCCTTCCAATAGCGATTAGAGGACAACAGCTCAACTTGGACACTTAGTGTCGCTATGATTCTTTAAATCTGTTCCTCACAACAAATCTGAGCACTCTGAAATCAAACCTGTCTGGCTAGCACCCAAAGGTTCCGTGATGTTTGCACAGTTAGCCTCGTATGTGCTGTGCACAAGGCTTCAGTAAGGAACAGGACTTTTGCCAAGGAATCTGATATCATCGGAAACACAATGCGAAGGTTACTGCTGGGCATACGAACAGATCAGTAACAAGGCTGAGTGGCTGCCAGCCAGGACATATCCAGTGTCCTGTAATACGAGGTGGATGAATACAGGGTTTCGGCGAAAGCCAAGTACAGTCTACGGCGCAGGGAAAACAAAGCAGCAAGACTGCTAGTGCACATGTCTGTCCTTAAAAAACCACATAAAGGGACGATAAATGCCTAGGAGGCTGAAATGTTTAAGGTCAAAAGAATCACTGGAAACAATTGTGTAGCTATCAGTATAAATAGTAATTTCCCACCCCTGTTGGTCATGTGTCACTCAGTTGGGTTGTGATAGTAGGGAAGCTGCAATTCATAGGAGCACTTACTATAATAGCACGCTGATTAAACTATGTTGGAATTTCCCATATAATGTGTCTATCAATTTTAGATGTGCGATTATGAAGTCCTAAACATTTCACATGTAGATAGGCCTCCATTAGTCAGAAGAGCTCAGTGGCACCTCTCTGTCCCCTTTCCTTTCTTTCTTAGCCATTAGGAAGGTTTAGGACATTTTCTTTCCATTCCCTTGAAATGAACCTATGCATTTATGATAGGAGCTCACGAATATACAGACTGTGAAACCTGTATCTCTTTGCCATTTGATAGGAAAGTGATCTGATCCCAATGCTTATAAAAAATAATAGGGAAACTAAAAAGCATTTTCAGGTGTGACATGTCATTGGAGTCATTCACATCCCTTTTTGGGTTTGCGGTGCCATTTCTACAAAAGGTCTGGTAGCACTGCAGAAATCAACACTTGAGGAGGTCACCCTTCTGAAAGTGCACAGAACAAAATAACCAGTGTCAGCTGGAGTGCTGCAAGGAGCAGGCAGCAAGAAGGAATTGGCTGTGTGAGAGGAGCCTGCAGGGCAAGCTGGCAGTGAGGATCTTGGGAAGACTGCATGAACAAGACTGTAGACGCATGGCAGTGTGGAGACAGTGCCTCGCCCAGCTGATGGGAGCCCTTGGTCAGAAGCAGACTCCCCACTGGAAGAATCCAGTGTCACCACAATCATCTGGCTTTGGCACTGTCCCTGCATTAAATCACCAGCGGGAGTGACCTCAGGAATGTGTGTGCCCTCAGATTTGAAGGTGCGCCATTAGAAAGCCATCCTTTAACTGTTCCCCATCAGGCTCTCCGGAGGAAGTAGGGGAGGTGTCCTCCCACGCCCACACTGCTAGTCCTTTTTGGCGATAATGCAATTCAACATGGGATCTCATTTCAGAAAATCTTGGGGCTAGAGATTTTCATCAGGCTCTTGATAACCAGGCCTCTTCTATTTATCCTGTTTGTAACTCCCCCCAGCGACTGGGTGGAAGCATGCAAATAAGGTGTAGAGGACACCAGCTCAGGGACCGGTCAGTTGTGCCATTCTAGTGGGTGTAAACACCAGGTAATCTGAAAAGCGGGAACGGGGATAGTCCACAACCATCCGGAAAGAAGAGCCATCAGTGAGGTGCATCTGAAGTCCCTGCCTGAAGTGGGGAGGCAGCAGAGGCCACAGCACTAAGACCATGAGACAGAGCAGTGGAGCTGAGAAGACAGAGTGGTAGGGGAGCTGGACCACACGCTATATGAAACTGAGTGCCTGGGGCAAGAGCCAGACTTGCGGTGGCTGTCCTTTGAGGATTTATCAGTGCTAAAGGAACTTTGTAACACTTGACTGAGCAGAGCAGAGGCCAAGGGGCTGCATGTCTGAGAACCAGAGAGAAAGAAAAGACGTGCCGGCTGGCGTGCCTGAGAAGAATGACAGACAAAAGGACAGTGCCCTTAATGTTTTTGGATCCTGACTTGTAAGTCAGCTTCCCTAATAAGCCAGGCAACCATGACTATTGTCTGAGTTCTAGGTGGCCGTTGCGATGGATTCTCTCAGCCAGCAGAGAAGTAGAGTGTTGGGGGAGGGACAGCTGGCAGACAGAAGAGGGTGAAGAAGCCTGAGCGATGGAGGCCTATCTGGCCTCTGCCTTGTGCTTGTGTGGAATTGGATGCCCCTTCTTCTAGAGCAGCCACACGAGATGAGACAGGGCCTCACAGGAACAAGATGGCCATTTTAAGGAAAGCATTTGGAAGACCTCCTGTTTCTAGAACTGCTCAGGGATCACACTACTGTTTGCCAAAGAGATAGCTTTTCATCTCCTATCTGGTCAGACCCATAACAGAACCCCCGTCATTAAATACACCACACTAGTTAACATTTACACGGCATTTACTATGTACCAAGCACTGTTATAAGACTTGAGATTCATTAACTCAGTTACTCCTCACATTAAGTACTTGGAATCAATACTATTATTATCTCCATTTTCAGGGATGAGAAAAGGGTGGTAAAGAGAGTGCTACTCCTCAGATTCCCATCCGAGCAGCTGGGTGCCACTGCAGCTGCTTTCCTCCACTGTGCCAGGAAGGAAGGTGGGCACGAAGCAGGTGGTGAACAGGGTGCCAGGCATGTGAGTTGAGGTTTAGCCTAGGACACTAGTTCCCTGGGAGACCGGAATACCACAAGCTGAGACCAGTAACACCCCTTGTACAAGGTAGGGCAGGACAGAGCAGATGGAATTAGGGTATACTGCATGGCAGACCCCGAATCTTGGCTCTTAGGTAACACAATGCTTTCCACCCCCACCCTCCTGATGGCACCGGATGTATTTCCTGTGGCAATCCAAGTTAGTTTGGGAGCCTGTGCACTGCTCAAGCCTGCTAGTGACTGCTGTAGTTCAGTGTCAAGGAAGGTAGTGTGGTTTTGACTGCAGCAGCAGTGGCAACAGAGGTGAACACTGTCAGCCTTATGGATACTGAAACTAATGACTGTTTCCTCCCACATGAAATAGGAATAAATCAATCTATAAATGGCAGTTCAAGTGTTCACTCGGTATCTGGTAGGCAACAGGCATATATCATAGACATAAAGTTTTGGATGTCATTTCAGTGGGTTGATGGAAGAACTCCTGATTTTTATTCATAACCTCCAACAAATTAAACACTCACAATTTTTTAAAAACCGGAGAGAAGTTATAAGTCCCAACACATATAACCAGCCATGAAGTGGCCCGGTGGTTAAAGGGCAGGCAGGCATAATGACAGGATTGCTTTTGAAGAATGGCCCCCAAGAGGATTATGTAAACCACTAATTATCCATTTTTAAAAAGAGGAATAGGGTCACGGGACACTAATCAAAGGATATGATGTCTGTAAAAGCAAATTATACGAGTATCTATTATAATTATCTGAAGAGAGAAAAACATGCATGTGGCTACAAGCGAATGCGTGCAGGTAACGGCTCACAGCACGGTCGATGCCACAGGGCTTACAGCCAGCCGCCACCTTCTCTACAGGGAAGTCTCCAGCGGGCCAGAATGCACGCAGCTCCTGACCCAATTCCATTTGGGACAGACAGTACACTGAAAGGGGGGGGGGGGAGATCCTTACTAGTCTTTACAATACCTTTAATGAGGATGTGCAGAAATTGGGACCCGGGTGCATTCCTGGTGAGACTGCAGCTGCTGTGGAAAGCTATACGGCAAATCCCCAAAGAGTAAATGTCAAAAAGATATATGACAGCAATTCTGTTCCTAGGTGTACATCCCCAGAAGAACTCAGAGAGGAGGGACTCAAATCGATACTTGTACCCCGATGTTCACTAGACCATTATTCAACAGTAGCCTACACGTGGAAACCACCCAAGTGCCCATCAACAGATGAATGGATAACAGAATGTGGTATCAATGTATGTAAGAGGCTACTGTTCATCCATGAGGGGACTGGATTTCTGATAGATGCTACAATACAGAGAACCTTGCAAACACAATACCAAGTGAAATAAGACACAAACGGGCAAATAACACATGGCCTCCCTGATCTAAGCGATCTAAAACAGGCAACTATCAAGTGCATCAGAGGCTGTCACTAAGGAGCTGCGACTGCTTGAGGCCATGCGTTTGTTTGGGGAGTTGCAAACGTCTTGACAATAGATGGTGAGGATGGCTACGCAACCCGGTGAATGTAATGAATGTTCCTGGTTTTACACTTAAACGGAAAATGCTACAGATTTACTACAGTTAAAACAATTTTTAAAAGCTTTTCACAAGGTTCCAACTTATGGTCTATTTTTAAAAAGATGGTTACCATGGAACTGAGAATCAGTTTGGAGAGAGCACAGGAGGGGTTGGGGAGACAGAAATGAACGGGCAAACAGGTACTTCTCTAGATGAAATGACACAGTTCCCATGATGTGGCTCCCTAGGACCTTCATATGAATGACCCGGAGGAGGAGGGCACAGAAAGCACTGGGGTCTGTAAAAGACGCCCATGTAACAAAAACACCGACTTCGAAGTTACTTATTTAACCATTCGTATACAGTTTACTTTGTGCCACTGATGGCCTGCCCAGGTGTAGCAGCATTCCTCCCACTGAAGGAGCCCCTTTGATCTCCTTTGGCTGACTGTTTTAAAGAGTGAGGATCACCCTCAGGTATTGTTCACTATCTACTGTTAGGCTAAACTGAGGTGAATTCAGTTCTAGGCTTGAACTGTGATTGACTAAGGGCCATTGTTCTCTGGGGTTCCACCAGTCTCTATTAAGCCTGTAAATCTATTTTTTCCCCTAATTTGGTGTTTTTCTCCCACTCTGTCAGGACTGCCTATTGGAATTCCTTTCAGAGCAGACCCTGTGATTTCTTAGTCAGGGAGAGGATGGATTTCAGGAGATCTTTTAAGCATCTGTTGAATGGACAAAGACATTGGTATGCTTTAATGCAGAGCAGAAAGGACCATGTCATGAAGGCGTAAGGAAGGAGTTTCACAAACTTCTGGGCATATGAGATCCAAGTGCTCAGTTATCATGCAGGTGAGTTTCCTGGGATTAAATGTTAGAATCCACTGATGGGAAAGTGATCCTGAGGTCAGCTAGTCCAAGCTGTCACCTGAAGCCATCCTGCACTTCCCCACCAGAGGAGCACTGAGCCTCTGTTCTCAGGGTCATGGTCTCACCAGCCATCCCAGCGGGAGCCCCCTTCCTTGATCAGACAATTCAATGTTGACAACATTCTCCTTTGTGCTGTGTCAACACCAAACTTTTCCCTATCTTAGGACAGTGTCCCACAATGATGGAACGATTTAGATCCTTCTTCCACACGGTCATCATTCAAACTTGCAGGGCTAGCATGCTCCCTATAAGCCATTTTCTTGTTTTCAACCAGATTCAACACTCTATATGCCGTCTTCCACAGGAAGAAACGTCTTGTGGTCTACTGAAAAAAATCAGTCGGTAGAAACCCTATAGATCTCAACTGTCTGGTCCCGTCTCCATGAATTGAAGACCAAATTGACAGCAGCTAACAAGTACAGCATCTTCCAGGTTTTACCTAGTCTAAAACTCTAAATGTTCTACTTTATCCCATCTGTTCTAACCTCGGCAAGATAAGCTCCGATTTGTCACTGTCCTGCATCCAGGACCAGGCTCCACATTTCAGGCACACGGTGACTACTACTCCATAGAGTGGAACACTGTTGCCGGCGACTGACTGTAAAAAAGCAACTACTTTATTGAATTCACACACTATCGAAGTCACTCTCTGAACATGTTCACTTCAATGATTTTTTTTAGTGTATTGACAGACTTGTGCAATCATCACCAATATCTCATTTCAGAACATTTCATCCACTCCCCCAAAGAGCCCCCTACCCATTTACCAGTCACTCCCCCTACACTAACAATCCTCTAGCTCCAGGCAACTACCAATTGAGTTTCTGCCTCTACGCATCTGTCTACTCAGGATATGTCACATAAAAACAATTATACAGTATGTGGCTTTTGGTTATTTTATCTACCATAGAGGCCTTCAAGGGTCATCCATGCTATAGCACATATCAGTAGTTTATTCCTCCTTATGGCTGGATAATAGCTACCATATGGATATACCACATTTTGTTTATCCATTCGTCAGTTGATAGGCATTCGGGTTGTTACGATGTTTTGGCTATTATGAGTGTACACATGGTTGTATAGACATATGTTTACAATTCCCCAGGGCTTAAATGTAGGAACAGAATTTCTGGGTCATTTCTACATTCAGCTTTTTCAGGAGCCATTGAACTGGTCTATCCAAAATAGCTACATCATTGTACATAGCCCCTCAGCCATGGATAAGGGTCCTGTTTTCCCCACATACTAGCCGCCATTTGTTGTCCATCTTTGATAGCTTCCATTCGACATTGCCTATGGGGTTGCTATGGGTCACATGTGCTTCTATGCCGGTGAGTGGAGGATGATGATGGTGAGCATCATTCTATGTGCTTATAACCACTTTTGTTTAAAACTTTCTTTTTCATCAACAAACCATTGACTACTCCCAAGGATTAATGTGCCACTGTGGTCACCAGGAGGCTCTTGGGATCTCCAAGCTCGCTCGGATCATTTCATGAGATGATCTTCTCTGGCCAGCCTCTGACTTCCTTTAGTATTTTTCTTCCTGGTCTCTCATGCTTACATCCACACTTTTCTTCCAGAAAGGAGGCTCCTACATTGAAGTTCTTTTAGGGACCATTGATTTCCATTTGAGTGATAAGTCACCTCAAAACTGCAATTGTGAATAGCAAACAGGTTTCAATGTAGGTCATACTGGGGTATGTGTATGTGTGTGTGTTGGAGTGGGTGGGTTGTGGTTGTAGGAGGCCGATGGAGCCAGGATGGTAATATTTCAGTATAAATATTTTGTTTTACACAAAATTTCTCTATTGCCACGATCTTTCCTTTCTGCTATTTTGCCTCTGAGCACCTAGAAGTCAGATTTAATATTCATCAATTTAACTGATTCCATGGAAACAATAGTGGCTTCTGAGATGAAAAAGAATTATGGATGAATGCTGATATTTCTTGGCTGCAAACCCCCAAACTCTGCCTCATCAAACTAAATTAGTCATTAAAATACAGGCCAAATAAGTGTACTCTACATTCAGACACCGATATCTGTCAGCTGGGACAGGGATGAGATAATGTTGCCAAAGAATAATTCACTACTCTTGTCCCACCAACAGAAAAAGACAAGGGTACATTTCCAGGATCACTATTAATTCACTAGGCGCATACAAGATGTGAATTAAATGGCCTTGTCCTTTATTTTCAATAAGACTACCTGATGCGCATGTGTTCCTTGCTCCCCAAGGTGAGCATTTTACTCTCCTCCTTTGAGAGGAGGGGCAGTGAGGAGAGACAGCGCTTTGCAGGCCCCACAGGGTTCTGCATTTGGGGGCAATGTCCCCTGCAAACAACCCATCCGTGGCCGTGTAGACTGCAGCAGCATGCTTCCGGACCTTCTGATTTCTGCTTTGGGCACATGGGGCTGTTTGGAATGATAAAGGGCAGGGAGGGGCTGAAGAAAGAGGGAGATCCTTCTATGTTTACCTTCCAGAGATTTGCCTAATCCTGCCTTCGAGGACTTTAAAAAAAACGATGTAGATGAGCCCTACAGGACCAGTGGTGTGAGTGGCGAAACAGGGAGGGTAGAGGGAGAGTGGGTTGGAAAGAGGGAACCGGTTACAAGGATCTATATGTGACCTCCTCCCTGGGGGATAGACAACAGAAAAGTGGGTGAAGGGAGATGTCGAACAGGGCAAGATAACAATTTATAAACTATCAAGGGCTCATGAGGGAGGGGGAGGGAGGGGAAAAATGAGGACCTAATGCCGGGGGCTTAAGTGGAGAGGAAATGTTTTGAGAATGATGAGGGCAATGAATGTACAAATGCGCTTTACACAATTGATGTGTGTATGGATTGTGATAAGAGTTGTATGAGCCCCTAATAAAATGATTTTTAAAAAATGATGTGGACTCGTTGGAGTCTTTATCTATTGATGGTGGGAGTGCAAAATAGTACTGTTACCATGGAAACAAGTTGGTGGTTCCTCAAAAATAAAGCACAGAACCACCGGATGACCCACCAACCCCAATCTTGGGAGCATACCCCCAAAGAGGAATCCAGACAGAAACCCAGACACCCGTGTTCACTGCAGCACTAGTCACAATAGCCCAGAGGTGGAAACAACCGAAGCGTTCTTTGACAGATGGACAGACAAATGTGGTCAGGTATGCATGTGAGTTGGTTTCCACTCAAAGTAACCCAGGTCCAGCAGAAGGAAACACTGCCCAGGCATGTGGCACCCTCACCTTTGGTCTTGCGTTGTGCCTACTATGGCGACCCCTCTCGCAGAGAGAGGCCTTCCTCTTTGTCACTGCCCTTCTACTTTACCAAGCATGATGTCCTTCCCAAGGACCGGTCTCTCCGGCTGACATGCCCACAGCACGTGGGACAAAGCCTCCCCAACCTTGCTTCCAAGGAGCATTCTGGTTGTACTTCTTCCAAGACAGACTTTTTTTTTTTTGGCAGTCCATGGTATTTTCACTATTCTTCCCGACACTGTAGTTCGAATACATCGCCTGTTCTTTGGACTACCTTATTCAATGTCCAACTCTCACATGTGTAGGAGATGACTGCAAACACCGGGCTTTGGGTCAGGCGCACCTTAGTTTTAAAAGTAACAGCCTTGTGTCTCAACACTTTAGAGAGGTCGTGCGCAGCACATGTACTCAGAGCCACGCACTGTTTGGTCTCTTGACTGAGGCGTGCTTTCACGAGCGAGCGTGGATCCGGCAAGATGAAATCCTTGACCAGGTCTATCTTTTCGGTGTTTATCACGATGTTACCTATTGGTCCAGTTGTGAGGATTTGGGTTTTCTTTATACTGAACGTGATCCATACTGGTCTGCGGCTCTGGATCTTCACCAGCAGAAGTCCTCCTCACGGTCAGCAAGCACGGTGTGTCACCTGCAGGGTGCAGGCTGTCAATAAGCCGCTTCCGCTCCTGATGCACAGTCTTCTTCAGAGAATCCAGCTTCCCCCTCTATTACGTATATGTGAATACATTATTACTAGGCCATGGAAAGAAGCAAGTCCTCACATTTGCCATAACATAGATGAACCCTGACAACTATTTATGCTTAGTGAAATCAGTCATGAAAGGTCAAATATTGTATAATACCAATTATAAGAGATAGGCAAATCTATAGAAATGAACCAAAGTTGCTTGGTGGCTTCCAGGAGGGAGGGGAAGTTCTTGCATGAGGGCACTGAGTTGCCGGTAAGGGGAGTGCAGTGAAATGGAAAAGGATCGTGGTGATGGTTCGCGATGCGTGTCATCAATGCCACTGAATTTTACGTGTAAGCATGACTGAATTGGCAAATGTTTCATTTCAGACATCTATCACGTGGGGGCAAAGGAGAACTGCAGAGTTGGCACACGGTCTGAAATGGAGGCGAACAGATGAAGATTCCTCGTGGCTGGAGTTTGGGGACGCTTACCGACCTCTCCTCTCTCAGGTGCTTTCCTGGCTGAGTGCGTTACGTGATGGGCTCCTAACCAAGGTCTGCTGCAATGCCACCAGCTGCTCCAAGGGAGAAAGAGGAGTCGGAATCGGAGTTCGGATTGACCGCCTTGATTTCTGTTTTCTTTATTCTCAACACCAGGGAGAGGAACATTGCTCCAAGTCCCATGTCCTCTAGGAATGGGCAGAGCCTAACTTCAAAAGCATCTTGTCGTGCATAATGCCAGCTCTTTCCCAAGCTCCGTGGGATCCCTCTCCTGTCCAGCCCGCTTTCTGAAACCCTTCTTTCCTTCCCTAGGCTCCAAGGAAACCACATCTCGATAGATAAAGAAATAACTTAGGAAAAGAAGTTCCTTGTTTGGGTTGTTGATTTTCCTTATCTTTGGATCATCCAAAGGCACTGTCCCTTATCCTGCGAACAGCTGGAGCCCACTGGCCAGAAGACCTTTTGTAGTGGGAAGTCAAAACAACAGAACTGCCTGATACGGATTGTTCACAGGAAGGCTCTTTGGAAAGATGTCTAACTGCAGGTCCAGAAAGCTTCTAATAATCCATATTGAGTCGTTTAGTTAGTTTCCCCCCCTTCATAATTTAGCAATGTCTGCCTTGTATTCTCAGGATTGTACACCTCCTCCTGGAATCTGAAAACAAGAATTCTATTCAAGCTGACATTACGATTTTCCTTATCCACTGAAGGAGCTTCCCGGGTCTGTCGGAGACAATACCGAAGTGCCAGATCAGCATGATCTGTCACTCACTGTTGCTCCTCTCCACTTCCTCTGCTGGTTTGGTTTATCTGCCTCAGGTAAAACTAAGCAAGGCCAATTAAAGCACTGCTTCAACTTGATCACACTTCCAGTTTTGAGTTGCGGAGGCTTTCCATATTCTTTTAATAACCCTAATATTTAAAGCTTTCAGACACCGTGGCAAATGTAAAACCTCCGTGACAGGGAAAGGAATACGATGTGTGTGAACGTGCCCAACGTTCAAAGGTAGGGCTATCAGGACTTTGCAGAGCACAGGGCATTCGCCTATCAGGTTACTCAGTCACACATCACTCATGCACACCGCATCGGCACATCATCATTTGGCATTTCTTCCGGAAAAGAGTCAGGGGTTCCGACTCCATGCAAGAGTGTGCCAGGCACAGAGGATAACAATGGGAAATTGGAGAAATGGGCTCATCAAGCTTACATGTTAGCAGAAGAAACAAAGAACAAACAAGAGACCCACGATCCTGAGAAATTAGGTGAAAGTGTTCATTTTGCTAATGATTCCTTTTCACCAAATGTCGAAGTAACACAAACGCCCACTTTTTATGGCACTGTGAGTGCGGTTGGAGGGGGGGCAGCCCCCACCACTAATCATGGGTTCGATAAGCACAATTGTACGGTTGAGATATATAAATATTAAAATCAAGAGCATGGGATATAGAAGAGAGAGATTGAAATAATGGAGTCAGACACAATTCATGGTAGCAGTGTTCACCTCAGCCCCGCTAGGTGGTCCACTTGGAGAGAGGGGAGAGAGAGAGCAAGAGCGCACGTGAGCGCTCTCTATTGCTAACCCAGGCCTATATACCTTTGGGGGTGGGTGGGGTGTAAGCACACTAATTACAGGTAGACATATGTCACAGGAAGGGGTTGCACTATAGGTTATACAACAATGAGAGGGGGACAATCTAGGGATATACACTCAATAGGAAGAGACGGGGGTTGGGTGTATACATGTGACAAGGTGGGCAGATCCTAGATACAGGATGGCAGCCTAACTTGGATGTTAGTGAGCCAGTTTGACCTGCTCTCTGGCTCAACTGATAGACCAGTATTAGTAGAGTGTGAACTCCACCTACAGGAACCAAATCAATGACTACAGGCCTGTCCATTGTCCTTAATAGCAGGGAGCAGGGCCTACCAGTCTGGTGACTGTCTTCAGGGAGGATGTCTGTAAACATCTGACCTCCCCTCACATGTGAGGATGGAGGCAGACAGTGCATGAAGGAAGGGCTTACAAGTTGAGCAGCTAACAGCCAGGCCAGCAGTTGGAAACCACCAGCTGCTCCAGGGAACGAGAGGAGCCTGTCTCCTCTCAGACAGATTGAGAGCCTCCGAAACCCACAGGGGCAGTTCTACTCTGTCCCAGAGTGTCGCTAGGAGTTGGAATAGACTCATGGAAAAATTCTTCCTCTTTTTCACTGACTCTCTGCTTCCCCAAGCACCATGTCCTTTCCAGGGACTGGTCTCTCGACACGCCTGAAGGATGTGAGATGACATCTCGCGATCTTTCCTTCCAAGTGCCCTGAACGAAGTACAGCCAGATTGTCCCAGGAGGTAAGGGTGGTGAGGTGTCTCTCAACATTCGCGCATCGCGACCAGGAGTTCGAAGGGAAGGGAGAGAGAACCATGAACTAGACAGAAGACCATGTTAATTCTGACGATGAGAGAAGCAATACACAGTATGGGCAAAGCCAACACAGTGACACTGGGGTAAATGAAGAATACTGCGAGAAATGCAAGAATGCAGAACAACTAAGGTAAATGCTATAACGCACACTGTTCTACAAGTCATTAACAACAACATTTCTGAGCGGTTACATACTTGTTCTACAAGTCATTAACAACAACATTTCTGAGCGGTTACATACTTGTGAATAGCCTGCTATACAGCGTGTGGGAGTGCATAGATTGTGTAATTATAGGAACTTCCTAGACCTATCCAAGGACCTGCCGGGATTGAATTACTGGGTTTGAAGGCTCAGGACCATTGTTTGAGGACTTTCTAGGTCAACTGGCATAAGGATGTAAGTTTGGTGAGTATTACCTAGGTCTTAAAAGTTTTGAGTAGCCATGTAACAGATCGCTACTGACCTTCTTCTGTCTGGAGCAGACAAGAGAAACCAAAGATGCAAGGCAAACTTTTGCCCTCAGGACCAACAGCCCACTTGAACCACAGTCTTCTCCTCCTGAGACCAGAACTAGAGGGTGCCCAGCTACCACGACCTACTGCTCTGACCAGGGACACTATAGAAGGTTCTATTTAGAATGGGAGGAAAATGTAGAACTAAAAAAATAAAAAATCCCACCTAGACTTACTGGACTGATAAGACTACAGAAACTGCAGAACAACCTCCCCATGACCCTCTCTCAATCTGGATCCAAAGGCATCTCTGTAGATCATCTTTCAGCCCCAAACAATGTGCTCCGTGGGCCAATACGCGATGGGAGACCAAATGGGGAACCCTCGCTCAAAAGCAAACATGAAAAATAAGGAGAATAACTGGAAAGTGGCACACAGGAAGAATGCTGACACACTGCGGTGCATGCGTGTGCGTGCATGTGTGGTAGCAAGAATCCAGCATCACAAAGCAATTTGTGTATGGATTATTAAATGAGAGATGAATTTGCTGTTTAAACTCAAAAAAGTCCAAACTCTCTGTCATGGAGTTGATACTGACTCATAGTGGCGCTCTCGGACAGGGTAGAAGCGCTCCTGTGAGCTGCCTGTGAGACTCTACAGGAGTAGAAAACACCCTTTCTCCTGAGGAGCTGCTGGTGGTTTCGAACTGCTGACCCTGCAGATAGCAGCACAACTCATTACCACCATGCCACCAGGGCTCCAAATGTGTACCCCAAACCCAATATAGTGTTGAAAGGACAAATGTTTGGCTCCGTAGACATACAGATCACAATACAAACAAACAGGAAACCCCAACTACTATTATCTTAAGCCACGGAGTGTGGGGTGGTTTACCACGGTTACTGGGCGCAGAGCTAATTGGTACAGGCGCTGTATCGTTCTGTGTTTAATTTTCTGTGTACAAGGGTCTGTTTCTTCTGGTAGGCAGGAACCACAAACACATTTCTCTGTGTGACAATCTCGGTATATTATTTCCTACACGGAGTATGTGTCTGCATATTTTTGCTGACTTCAGTCGTAGACACTAAATTTACTAAGATTTAAAGAATTTATTAAGATGTAAACCTCTCAACAGAAGGAGCCATTCGCTAGAGTAAGAGCTTGGTTTTCATCAAAAGGCTGGTGCATTTGTGTCCCTGTGGCAGCAGTATCCAAACCGTCCAACAAACTCGCAGGCAACTCAGCCAGGAAGGATCAAGTCAGAATACCCACTGATCAGAAGATCGATAATTGTTAGTTACTTGGCCAGTAATGACAGGGCTACTCTTTTCACAATGTGACATAGGCCAATTATCACAAAGCTTTAAGGAGCCAAGACAAAGCAGCTACCCCTGTAAATTGCAGACTTGGGGTCTTTAATACAGGCGGCCTCGGCAGCCTCTTCTTCCTTTCCACAAATGCTTCCAGCTTGTTGCTGGAGATGGAGTTTGAAAGCGATTTGTTTATCACTCCACTGCTAAATGTTTACAGGCTGAGGGGCAGGGAGAAAGCAGGCCACTGTCTGAGATGGTTGATGTAGCTTACTGAGTACCTGACAATGGGCAGACTCCAGTTTGGGAATGGAGTCAGCCTTCCACTGTCAGCGGCTTCCACCCAACTAGTTGTGTGAACGCAGGCGCTCTTTCAGTGGACTTGCAATGGAAGCCACGGACACAGAGCAGCCCTGGGCTGATACTTCAGACACACTGTCTGACAGCACGAAACCACAGTCATTTGCCCCAAATCAAAATCAAAACAGATCTCTTGCCCTCTAGTCGATTCCAGCTCCTGGCCAAGCCCCGTGTCACAGAGAATGGTGTGGGCGCAGTTTACCAGGCTTTTCTGCAACAGTGCTCCTGCGTGGGTTGGAACAGCCAACCTTTAGGTTTTCAGCCAAGCATTAACCATTTATGCTTCTCAGGGACCTCTGTCCAAAGTCCCACAGCAATTAAATGGCTGACCCAAGAATTAGAGTTTATCTGCCTGCCTTGCTTTTTCCAGGACACCGACGCTGCCTTCCACTGGAGAGTCCTGCTGCCTTGCCCCACCACGCAGATTTGCCGCCCATCAGCCTCTGCCCAGGCTGGCTCGGAAGTGGACAAGTCCCTTGTATGATGAGATTTCAACATCTGGACGCTCCTTCCACTGGAAGTCAGCCGTGAGACTTTTTTATTCTCCAGTCATCAAGCCCCTTCGGTTCTCTCCTTTTTCCTACCAGATTGTCAAGTTTTACAAGCAAGGTCAAGAACACCTTGAACTTTGTTCTTGTAAATGTGTGTACATAGGGAATGCTAAAACACACACTCACAAACTCACTGCCATCACATCAGGTCTGGCTCACAGCGATCCTGAAGAACAGGGTAGAACGGCCCTGGTGGGTTTCCAAGAGTTGACAGCCTCAGCTTTCTCCCTCGGAGTGGCTGGTGTGTTCGAACTGCTGGCCTTGTGGTTAGCAGCACAATGGGTAACCCATGATGTATCCAGGGAGTGCTAAAGTATGAGTTACGTTTCCAAGATGAGTTTCGGTACCCTTCTGCTTTAACAGTCATTCAGACACTCCGTTTTCTTCACGCAGCCTGAAGGAGGCCAAGTGCCTGAGGGAGGAAAGGGTCCTCCTAAGCATTAGCAGCAGCAGCCACAGCTGGCACAGCCATGGGGATGGTGGCGGGTGAAACCCAACAGAAACATCCTCTAGCTGTTCAATGGGAGGGTAGAAGATACAGGAAGTTACCCATTTCCATAGCCCCTGGAGCAAAGGCCTGCAGTCAGCCACTCACCCACCCATTCAGAACTGCCGGATGGTTACTTCCATCCACCTCCATCATCGAGCTCAGCGGTTCTCAACCTGTGGGGCTCGACCCCTTTGGGGGTTGCCTAACACCATCAGAAAACACTTATTTTCGATGGGCTTAGGCACCGAGACACTGCCCCTCTATCCGTCTCCAGGTGGGTCCGCCCACATGCTGATATACCCACATAGGAGTACCCGGTGTGAAGACTGTTATCTCTGCTTCAAGACAAAATTTCATTGATTTGTCATTAGAAATAAATATTTCACAATATATAATTACATATTGTTTGTGATGAATCATGATGCCTTAATGATGTTCAATTTGTAATGATCTTGCATATCAGATATTTACATGACGATTCATAACAGTAGCAAAATTACAGTGATGAGGCAGCAATGAAAGTAATTTTACGGTTGGGGGTCACCACCACATGAGGAACTGCCTGAAAGGGTCCCGGCACGAGGAAGGTGGAGAACCACTGCTCTAGCTAGTCCACCAGGGCATGCGTGAAATCACTCTGCCAAGCAACCAGGCATCAGATACTTGTGGGGCAGGAGGAGGAGGAGGTCTGGGTTGGACAGCAGAAAGGCCTCTTTCCAACGGCTCATCCGCTAGGCCTGCCAGGTGGTCCAACTCGGGAGCCCCATATATGTTATGTGGCCCCACCACTCTTGCGTCACCATCACATTCTACTGTGATTGCAATTTGGTTGCATCTCCTAAGCTAGAAGCTACATAAGGGGAGGCAGGACTTTCTCACTCTCCGCAGCCCAATGCAGTGTCTGGCGTTTAGCAGAAATGCGATGAGTCCCTGTGAGGTGCAAATGATTAGTGAGCTTCGCAGCTAATTGAAAGGTTGGACATTCAAGTCCACCCAGAGGCCTCAGAAGAAAAGCCCGATGTTCTACTTTCTCCCAAAACGAGCCATTAGAAACGCTACAGGGTTTCATTCTGATATACGGTCACCTTGAGTCAGAGATAGTTGGCAGAGATGTGAGAATTAAGTGTTATTAAGGCCTTGATAAAGCAAGGTTGACTTTAGATAAAATAGGGACTGGGGGGGCGGAGCTTGAGGTTCCTTATAAAACTAAAGAGGATATGCAGATACTCATGCCTGGATATCTTGGATAAAAAAGGGGGCTTTAAAAAGTTCATGGGCAAGTTCCATTACCTTCCAATGTCCCTTTCCGTGAACTTTTTGCAGTCTCTGTGTGCTGAATGAAAACAGGGAACTGGGGAGGAACGGGAAGGCAGGGCAGAAAGGACTACAGTAAGAGGTCCCAGGTGTTTGCACAGGGGTTTAATGAAAACGGGTCGCTATTATGTGGTTAGCCATACTTTGGAGATTTCCGAAAGATAGTCTGAGAATATTTCCCTCAAAAGTAGTACTGAAACGAGCAAGATATATAGCTCATTTGGTTAAAAATTAGGAGGACTTGTAGAGAATTAGGACACTTTAACATCAGTCTTCGCACAGTACACCCACTGCAAGCTAGTTAATTCTGACTCAGCCTGGCAGCGCAGTGGGTTGCAGGCTGGGCTGCACGTCAGTGGTTCAAAACCACCAGCCGCTCCTGCTCTGTGGGAGAACTATGGGGCTTTTTACTCATCTAAAATGACAGTCTCGGAAAGTTCTACTCTGCCCTTTGGGGTCGCTATGAGACGCTGACCACATACCACAATGACTTATGCTTGCGGTTACGCTGATTTAGAAGTTTTGGGAGATTAAAAGGTGGCCTGTAGCATTCCTAACACTTGCTAGTGCCATTATTATTATTGTTGTTGTTATTATTATTAGAGATTTTGAGTCCAGTGAAAGACCTTCAACACTCACTTGGTTGGACAATGAAAGAAGCTTATTAACGAAGAAAGCCATAAACATTCTCTCTCTCTAGACCTTACATATTGTTAACACAGAATCTGAATGCACATCCGTTCACACATTTGACTTGAAGGTCAAGATCTTTCTTAGCGTCCACGTCCACTTATGAGAATACAGCACCCGGAGCAAGAGTTCTGGTTGGGTCACTTATTTGTGTGATGCTCTTGTATTTAAATTTTCTCATCTGCAGAATGGGCATAAGAAGATCTACTTCATGGAGCTGCCGTGAGGGCTGACTTAGTCGCCTCTCCATAAATGTTAACTACCAACTAGGGGGAGGGAGGGGAAAAAATGAGGAGCTGAAACCAAAGGCTCAAGTAGAAAGCAAATGTCTTGAGAATGATGAGGGAACAAATGTACAAAAGTGCTTGACACAATGGATGGATTGTGATAAGAGTTGTATGAGTCCCCAATAAAATGATTAAAAATATTTTTAAAATTATAGCTGTGATATGAAGTAAAACAAGAATTAAAAAACTAGATGGTGGCTATCAAACCCCTATGGCATCTAGATTCCACTGGGCACTTTATAAAAGTGATGCTACAGCACAGCTAGGCTCTGAAAACATGATGCCAAGTGAAATAAGTCAATTAGAAGGGACAACCGGTGTACACACCAACTTACAGGAAACGTCTAGAAGAGGGAACCGCAGAGAGACATGTTCTCAGTGGTTACTGCGGTCAGGAGGGAGGGGGGGGGACCGTCTCTGAGGGCATCTGTTCATAGTGATGGGAAAACTGGGCAACGGTGAAGGTTGGATAACATGGTGAATAAATGCCAGTGAATTATACCAGTGAAAATGCTGACTTGGCAAATGTTATGTTACCTATCTGTGTGTCTTTGTGTGTTTGTGTGTGTACCACAAGGAAAAATGATGTTACAGGTTTTACGAAAATGTCAATATTGCAACTACTTAAACCTACACCGAGAGAAATTTAGGTGTCAGCTCAGAAATGTGTGAAGGGTACATAGTTTGAAAACTGTGAGCAAAAAAGCGATGAGAGATTCATGAGCAAAAAGTTCTGAAGATCTCTAAGGAGTATCTATCAACTCAGAGATTTAAGCATCAGTGTGAAAAAAACATTGGGTAACTGAAGGAATTCATTCATAGATATTCTACTGTTCTAAAGTTTGTTTGTTTAAACCTTTACCTTCATTAGTTATTAATGAGGACTTTTTTTGGTAGTGACTCACACACTGATTTTTTTCAATCAGCCTTTACACTTACAAACACTCCCCAATCTTTTAGGTGGAAATGCATTATATGTATGCAAGTATATAAAAAGAGGAGGAACCTTGGCGGCATAGCAGTTACACGTGGAGCTGCTAAGTGCATGGCCAGCAGTTGGAACCCCCTGGCTGCTCTGCTCCGTGGGAGAACGATAAAGGTGTTCTCCTCACAGAAGCAGCTGCAGTTTCAGAAACCCACAGGGACAGTTCTACCCTGTCCTTCAGGGTCGCTGCAAGTCAATCAACTCCATGGCAGTGAGTGAGTAAGTATATAAAAACGGTGCAGCTTTGTAGATGCTTGTAAGGGATTTACTTTTCAACAGTACTATCATTATCAAGAACTATCTCTTGAGTGGAGCACATCCTGGCCCGCCAAGCCTTGAGGCTGATATCCCTGCTCAGAGCAGCCAATGCACAGAGAGGACCATAGGGCCGGCCCCACTATGAGACACGCCTTCCCTCACTGACCCATAGTGCTATGGGGGATAACACTGGAAACACAGTGTGGGAAATGCACCCAATCTGACCCCACCACACCTAGGAAAACACTAAGGGCGTGCAACAGAACACCAAGGGGAGCAGAGCCAGGAAGTCCTGAGGGAATACCAAAAATAGACTTTGGGGCCAGGGTATGGCACCCCATCAGACTCGGCCAGAAAACACCCCCAAAGGTCAACATACAGGCTTGGCACTATTTACAAGCTTTTCTCTTTTTTTGGTCATTGTGTTGTTGTTCTTTTGTTGCTTTGTTTTACTGTCTTGTTTTTGTGCATATTATTATCTCTGCAGGTCTACCTTAGATAGGCTGGGTAAATAACCTGGATGAGAAAACAACGGACCAATGGTTCCAGGGGGACATGGGAGAGGGGGAGGTGGGGGAAAGGAAGTGGTGTTAACAAACTCAGGGACAAGGGAACAACAAGTGATCCAAAATCGGTGGCGAGCAGGGAGTAGGAGGCTTGGTAGGGCTTGATCAAGGGCAATGTAACCAAGAGGAATTACTGAAACCCAAATGAAAGCTGAGCGTGATAGTGGGACAAAAGGAAAGTAAAAGGAAATAGAGGAAAGAACTAAGAGGCAAAGGGCATTTATAGAGGTGTAAATACAGGCATATGCATATGTAAATATATTTATATATGAGGATGGGGAAATAAACCTA